TAAAATCAAACATAAATGTTACTATTTTATTGCTCCGTTCACATTTAAACTCTTAATACAATAACATTAGACATTTTCTTTCAGAATAAAAGCTCCTTTCACTCAGTGTGCTCCTTTCACATTAAGAGTCCTCTTGTTGAATGATAGTGATATGATCAGTGATATAATTTGGTCAGTACAGGCTGTGGATGGGTAAGATGGAGGTTTTCTTGGTCTTTTCCTGCAGTTTCTCTCTCAGTGTTTGTTTCTGGACTTCGTGCCAGACATATCGTGGGTTTTCTACAGGCGGAGGCGTTCCCGTCCCCGTCCACTCCACCTTCTCTCCGTCCTCGTTGCGTTGGACGTAGTCAGGCACCAGTGCCACCAGCGTGTTAAGGCACACGCCATCCGTCTTCCCATGTTGCCGGCCGTTGTGCTGCAGGCTGAAGATTCCCAGCGTGTTGACGTCCTGGTCGTAGTATACTGACGGCATGGCTTCCTGTACCACCATGTTGGCTGCCCAGGTCACCGCATGCGTTTTCACCGCCGCCGCTGTGGGGAGGTGGAGCACCGGAGCTGCAGGATGGAGAACGAAGGGGGGGTTAGGAACACAAAGGAGTTTTTGTCTTTTTTCCAAGTATCAAGGAAATGTATTTATCATTATACAACACAACTTTCCCAATAAAATTAAAGTGTGCAGTTCCTTCATGCTACAGCCATGAAAGACGATAATAATTTGACACTGTTTGTCTTTCAGAGACAATAAAGATTTGATTGTCCATTTGAAAATAATACCTACATAAGTCAGTGCTTTATACAGGTCAGAGGTTTGTACTGTTTATTTGCTTTAAATAATAGTAACAATAATGATATTACCATTAAATAGGTCAGTGCTGTCTATTTGATTCCTATAATAGTAACAGTAATATTAATGTTAAGTTTATGTCATACGTTTTAGTGATGTCCAATAATTTGAAACCTATTGTCTTTCAGAGACAGTTAATAAAGTTTTGATTTATTCCATTTGACAATAATAAGTTACATAGGTCAGGATGGATAAAGGACACAGGTCATTGCAGTAGATACAGGGCAGCAGTCTGTGCTGTATATACAGGGCAAATATCACTGCTGTAGATACGGGGTGGCGGTTGGCACTGTATATATGGACAGCAGTCGTTGCTGTATATTCCGGGCATAGATCTATTAATATTAACTTTTTTATTTATAGGTAAATTTTATTATTTTACGTTTTAGTGAAGTCAAATAATTTGAATCTTTATTTCATACGCTTTTTATTCTTCTGCATGTTTTTTAGACTGCATCTACTCGCACACTTTTGCAGATAGACAAATAATTAAAATGTATACATATAAAGCCTGTTGCTGTCATTTACTCGTACGTGTTCATCTTTTTATATCTGTTACAGTTATTAGGATATGAATATTATATATAATTATAATATGAGTCACATATACTATATAAATATAGACGCCTGTGCCGGGTTGAGTTTAGTGTTTGAACCAAATAAAAGCTGAAGTCTTATTGTATTTTATCATCAAGTTGCTGCATTGATAGAAACAAAGAAAAATGTTTGTGACTTTATCTGAAAATACTTTAAAGCAGCTCTTATTTACAGATTTGTTTTTCATCTGATGAGCAGTTAGCTACCTTTGACGAGCAGGATCCAGATCTGCTGCTCAGCGTTGGTGAAGACCAGGACGAGTCTCTGCACCACATGGCGGCAACTCAGGTCCACAGGTAACGTGACAGGATGCCAGGGATCCTGACGGTACCTGAACACAGCACAGCAGCCAGAGTTAGTATTCAGCTTCATAATCTCACTGTTTTCATCAAACTTTCATCACATTTCAGACCATGTTGATTAAAGTGATCAATTGATGACATTAAAAACAACATATGATCAGTTTAAAGAATTGTTATATAATAAACTAAATTAGCCAATATTTCACTAAACATACAAGATTAAAAGGAAGTCCAAAATATTAATAAAAACGTGTGTGAACTTTCCTTTATTCCCTTTAATGATCTCAGGACCTGTCAGATTCATCTGGACTAATTAACTATTGAACTTTAGTGTATAAGGTGGTTAAAACCTTTTACCTTTAATAGTTTTAGTGCATTTTGATTATAACACTTCTGTAGATCTACTTATGTAAGATTTTACTTGTAATGGAGTACTTTTACTTAAAGGGATAGTTCAGTGTTTTGCCTCAATTGGTTGGTGTGTTTGTGTTATTGTGTGACAGGACAGAGACATGTTTAGCCTAGCTTAGGACAAAGACTGAGAGTGTCGTACTTGAGACCGCAGTCGATGAGGCGGAGGATGTCTCGTCCCCGCAGAGGCAGCGCAGACTGTCTGTCCCACCAGGAGGCCTGAAGAGACTCGTTATCTGCTGCTGTCGGAGTCTTTAAACTCCCACCTGACAAACAGAGGTCAACACATGTTTCTGACAGCTTTAGCTTTGTATGTAGATTAGTTATCTAAGTACAGGAAAAAGGAGGAAGTTGACTGGAGGCTTTCTCAAACTGTTATTGGCAGGAGAGAGCAAAAAGGGGCGGACAATTAGGTCAATGTGGGTCCTCATAAGAAACAGAAGTATAACATGTAAGTGTATGTGTGACCTCTGACCTGTGACTTGGCCAGAAAAAGGATAAATCAATCCACTGCGTTCCCTGTTCCTGGGACCAGCAGGCAAGGTGATTGCTCACAGTCAAACCCCGCTCCTAACCTTATACAACCTTGCAGACAAACAGAGCTTGTGACTCAGGTAAACCAGGACAGAGTTGTGTGTGTGTGTGTGTGTTGTGTGTGGTGTGTGTGTGAGAGGAGAGTGTGTGTGGTGTGTGTGAGTGTGTGAGAGTGTGTGTGTCTGTATGATGTGTGTGTGAGAGTGTGGTGTCTCACCTCTTCGTCCTTAGCTTTCCTCCTCCAGGCTCTCCCCAACCTCCACCTCCCTCAGGCAAGCTACCACTGCTTATAACACTCCTCTTCGCCTCCTTGCACCATCAGCACTCCTCCTGATGAGCACACACACACACACACACACACAGCACACACATCCTCTT